CCAGACGGTAAGTGGTTAGTGAAACTGACTGCCGTAATGAAGGGCTCGAGTTCGTTTTCTCGAGAAGGCATGAATGTTTTTAAATGTATAGTACCTGTAAGGCATGGGGGCATCCAAATATACGGAGAGTCGAAAGCCCTTTCAAGAGGTTGCTGGTAAGGAAAGAGGGGTGGGAGATCCCCGGACCCATCCTCTGGGGAGCTCTCTATCAAAATTGGGGCGGGACTGAGCAAAATCGGACTGCACCCGTATAGTGCTGAAGATTCTTGCCAACGACAGACGTAATCTTGCACGCCTTGCTATGATAAAATTGGTGGCCTTGTTCTAATTCAGACAAATGAGATTAATCATAACAGCACATGACCAGATTTCATAGTCATGCAAGTATACTAGTGACTATGTGAATAAAATTAGAAAATTTTATCACCGTTGTAGGATCCATCTCTTCTATCATATAAAAACGTTACAAGTTGTGAGGTTTTTACTGTTTTTCATAAGGGTCAGCTGAGTTAAAATGACTTGTTTTTCTCCATGTGATAGACAAACCGTCCTAACGTCAATACAGTATTACAAGAAAATTTAAAATGTGATTTGAATTAACAGCCTGTGCATTAAATGCATAAAAATCATTGAAATATTCAAGAGTGTAATTCATTAGAGGGATAATTTTTACACACGCGAATAATGATAACGATAATTAATAAAATAAATAAATGAAAACAAAGCAAAAGAAAATATGAGAGGATTCATATTTTAACAGTCACCCATAAAAAGGCTCTTTTAAAGTTTAATACGGTTTATCAATAGAAATTTATTAACAGAGGGAGGTCTACGTGTTGAATAGTGAAACATTTTATAATATACTAAATGAATATGAGTAGACTAAGATGGGAACATTATATATCATTAAATATAAAAATTATATATATCTAAATATTTAATCTTCTATAGCTTCTGTATATTTTAAAAGTGAAAAAATACATAATATAACTTTATAAAAGTATTTAATGTTTCTACTTAAATATAGCAGGAATTAAATGAATTTTGATTTAAATCAATCAGGTTAAAAAGTAAAAGAAAAATGGTATTCTTAAGAACAGCATCCATTACTTTTAAGAAGCTTAGTTTGTTAACCAATAAGTTACAGATTCAATACGAAGGATAAATACCTTACATTTTGCCGAATGGCAACAGACTCGAATGAAAATTGAAGCAATGCAAAATCATACTTCGAGACTAATAGCAGTTTTAAGCTGATTATATTTTGAAGACAATAATAATAATAATAATAATGCATTAACTGAATGCTTAGAGGCAATTGTAAGGCTACTATTGTACCTATTTTTGATAAAGATTAGATTAACTAACTTAAGCAAGACTATTTGCTTAAGAAAAATGGTTCTTGTGTTGGTGAGAATTACCAGAAACTGAAACTGAGAGGCAAGAAATTACGAGAAAACGATACTAATCAGCTGGTCAAATGCAGGATTATTGCAAACTTCCGGAAGAAGAAGGGAAAAAAAAAGGAAAAAAGAAAAATATCTGCGAAGTTTAATAAGATTAGCTCTTGTAATTTTTGCTAACAGAGCTTCTTAGAAATCACGGCTCTACAGAGGTCGGCCGCCATTATTCGGCCCATATTGAAAAAAATTATTCTCTATTATGCTCCAGCTGAAACCTCTTTAAATGCTGTGCACTGTGCCACTGTACAGTTCGAAACTTCTGACACAACTAAAGCAACATCTGTCGATAAAAAAATTTAACTGTTCTTCCAATAAAATCTTTCATTATTAATTAATGCCCGTATGGTTTACTGTCTGTACTTTTCAGATTATTGAATTTTTACTTTTTTTTGCGTGTTATTTTTGGATCACCTTGCATTTTTATCGTATTTCATTAGTTCATACGAGTAATTCTGCATAAAACAGATTTAAGATTCACATAATATATAAAGACATAACCAAAAATTAAATTAAGAAACATAATTACGTGTAATTCGTATCTGCGGCATTAAAACGAAGCGCTTCAATATTTTCTTTTTCTAGTTTAAATGTAGAAAGAATCAACACTTACAACTGTAAGTTGCATAATCTTTCATTGAGACTAAATAATAATAATCTTTCAAAGAGCAGTTCTTTCTGAAAAATCCTAAGTTACAAAATTTATCGAAATTACAGAATAATTAGTTTTATCTTTTGCTAATACGCATTTCCTTTAGTAAATTCCTATTAAATACCTCAATGAATGAGATCTTTTAATTTTTTGCTGTTAATATGGAGTTTTAAGTCATAGCTCTGTTGCAGTATTTACAGTTAATAACGAGGTTCTACCTCATATCCTTGTTGCTTTGATTTTATATAGATAAAAACAATTTATACAATTCATGAAGAATTTGATTTAATAATATTTAAGTTATTACTTTAATTTGGGATTTATCATTGAGTTTTGAAAACATTTTTGGTTAATGTTATTCCGAGTTGAACACATAGGAACTGGTGATGTTTTCTTTTACATCTAAAGATTTTCTGGAGGGATATTTAATGATAAATTTATAAATTCCCCACCCTGAGTAAAGTCGCCATTTGAGCAATTTTAGAACGAATTTGACATAAATAAACAAAAGAATGTTTAAACGTTCTAGGTGAACTCCTCAGCACTGACTTCTTATTTTTGAACTATTCCGTTGTCTGCTTCGAGATGGAGTACCTAAATAATAGTCACGCTGAGGATTAAGCTTTTGCATTTTACAAAAAACGAATATATTCATTCTTCATTTAAAATAAGTAATTTTTTTTATTTGTGGAATTAGCATTTTTATTTGGAAAAATAAAAAGTATTTTTGACATTAAAAGGTAAAAACTGCCAAACATTGCATTTATATGAAGGGGCAGAAGAAAAATGAATATTAGAATATTAGATAAAAGCACATATTTTAAAAATATTTCGAAAGCAAAGATTCCATTTTCCCGGCGGATTCAATCGATATATCGTAAAAGTCTTATGTTAACATTAAACAAGACCCCGCCCCCCCAAAAAAGATTTAAATCTTGAAAAAAGTAGAGATCGTCTAGTTTATTGTCTTTTGTCTAAAACTGTGGCTCAATGCAGAGCGCAATATGCAGTTCTCTGTGAAAAACATTTAGCAAGACGCAAACATAATTACTTCATGATTATTTATGAAGTATTTATATGCACAACCACGAGAAAAAGAAATTGATGAGGAAATCTTGCTACGTCATACAATAGGGACTTAATATTAAGAAAAACATTATATCAGCTCCTTGCCTTCTGATAATTATCTTAAATTTACTAATAATTAAGCTTAATTTAAAAACTGAAAGTAAGGGGGATACGATTTAAGTTTAAGAATACGTATTTTTTTATTCTAAAAATCTGAATTATACAACACAGAATCGTTCTAAACGTATGTAGAACCACCTCCATATTAACTGTACCAAAAATGTAAACGGAGGGGAAACATCACCCATATAAGCGGACTCACAACGTTTCGTTCAAATACATGAATAACTGGCCCATGTGGATTGAATACACGAAATGCATCCCGTTTCCGAATGTCAGCATGAATGGGTATTCTCTGACAATAACAGCAGTGAAAAGTTCTCCCAAAGAATGGAATTCCCAAAGGTCATAAATTCAAATTCCTATTGTAACCCGTATTATGACATTTTGGCCCTCAGGTTGAAACCACTGAACCATGACCTCAAGGGTAATAGTCCCTTTTTTACCTCTATTATTAATCTTATATTTCGAAACAATAGAAAAATGCGTAACAGTAATTCAAGTTGCAATGACGCACACTCGCGTTTTCTAGGAAAAGAGCTTTAATGGAAGCAGAAATTTTTGTGTGACCGGGCACGAAAGGAAAAGTATTTCATTTTTTCACTATCTGTTATATGGAAGATACGAAAAAGGAAATTTAGAGCAATAATGGAGGTCTAATAATACAAATGCAACATATTTACATCAATCCTGTGACTTCAGGACAATTTATCGCATTAATTTTAAGGCTTTATAACTTTAAGCGTTAATATAAAAGGCTTATTTCTTGTAATGAAGTATCACTCATTACGCAGACTAACCGGTGACCAAAGGGTTAGAAATACTGAACACTGAAGTTTCCTTCTGGCTTCCATCCCTAATGGATTCATATGTATTTACTTGTTTTAGCAGCGATGGAAGTACAAGTTATTATACCTTTGTCCCGCAGTGGACCCAAGTGGTAAAATTATAGTAATGCAAACCGATACAACAGAAAAGACGCAATTAAGCTGTACATCATACATCAAATTGTCTGAACGACCTTAAAATCCAGAGCGATTCAGTTTCAGTTCATACATTACTATAATAGTAGCAGGAATTTTAAATGCTAAAGAAGTCTTTTTGAAAACGTGCAAACCGCCATCATTTTTAATTCACTTAATCTCTTCGGTATTTGCCAAATTATTATTTTTATACGCCATATTAATGCCGTTTAAATAAACGGAACAGTTCCATAATTATCTCAGTATATGAAACTATATCATAATATCCTATTTACGTGAAAAAACCATTAGGCCAGTATGATTCATGGTGCAGCAGCGTCGTGGATCGAATCGTAGATGAGACATTGATATCTTGATGCTAGAATTTTTGTAAAGTGAAAGCATTTAAAATCCGTTTGGTAGCAATGTAAGATACAGATATGAAATCCAAAGATACCGTTCTCAAGGTATTTTCGATCAAAATTGGGAATGGAGTTTGGCACATTCGTATTGGTATCCCTGGCTCTCATGGCATTTGACTAACGATGCTCACAAATGATCTCATACGTAATTACTCCATAGCTGTGTTCTTGTAGCTTAATTCCTGTAATCAGATAAGGTAGCGATGGCAAAAAAGTAGCAACGAATCTGTGATTCCCGGTAGTAACAGTCATTTCTTTCTCCACATTTGAAAGGATATTCAATTCTAATTCTTTCGTTTATTTGCATTAAACTTACCTATATGAGATTCGATGAACTTTGCCCGTAGTTTCTTACTGAGACTTATCCATTCTGGCTGGGGCTCCTTTCTAATCCTAGATTTCTTACTTTTCGGCCTTCCAATCTTTTCGATGATTCTGATATCTCCGTTTGGTTCAACGATATCTGCATTTCGCACCGCTTCGACACATGCCGGAATAGGGTATTCTAAAAAATTTTAATAAAAATAAAATCCAGTGTAAATGAACATACTAGAAATTACAATCGTATCGAAAATTAAAATTTCAATTTTTTTTAATAATAGCAGCAAAGGAACGCCGCGGTGCAATGAAATGAAGCTCAGTTTAAATAAGCTAGATTTTTCACATAGTGAAGGAAAGGGCTTTAAGTGTTCCATAAAACATAAAATTTGGATAGAGGCACCTCAAACTCACACCCAGTGTGTTATTTAAATGCTAAAAACCTGTTATTATAATTGACTGTTTTCCCGTGAATGCATTTCGATGAATTTCAGCGATGTACTTAATATCAGTCAGTCTATTTAAAAAAAAAAAAAACGTGTTTACTTCAAAATGAAAATTATAGGTTTCAGTATGCATAAAATCAAAAGAATTTGCTTTGTAACATACACAGGAAATGCGAGCAACTTGTATATAATTTCGTAAAGAAGCTACTTGAATAGGCAGTATTTCTCCGGATCTAGCATTATGCCATCGCAATCTTCTAAGGCTCTCTGCCAATGAAAAGGGCAGAGGAAGAAGAAAGTGAAGTGCATTTTAAAGGAAACTGAATCATAATATTATATACGAAGCTTCATGCATTATCATGAACAACTCATGCAGCAAATTCGTTCCATCGCAGTGAACTGAAACACGAGCGAACTACCATCATTTTGCTACTTCAACTACTCAGCAACTGGTGAGCAGCAACGGAAAGATAAGTAGCTTCAGCATTAAAATTTAATTTATATCGACTTTTGCTCCTAATTTGCAAGTTCAATTAAATTAAAATTTCAAACTGCCTTCTTCAGACTTCTGGGCAATTGATAGATATCAAGTTATTTTTCACTCTCTAAGATGCTAAATGTCTTTTATTGGAGAAATATGAGGAATTTTGATAATGAAATGTCACGGTTCTATTATATTTTCAAAACATATAGTTCTGGTCCATTCACTGTTCGATTTGTTAAGTTTATAATTTAACATATTAACTGAACAAACATAAAGGAATTTTTGCTCTCAATGTGAAATACAGAACTATCTTCTTATAAAGTCTCATAAGGAAAATAATTCGTACACTTCTGTTATCGGGAACGGATTCAGAAATGTGCATATGGATGCATGTGTTTATGTATGCATGCATGTATGCGTTTGTATACGCACACACGTATATGCACATCCATACATACATACGTTCATACATACATATATTTCTGAATACGATCCTGATAACAGAAAAGTACCAAATAATCTCCTACCAACGGTGACCTTCATGGTCTTTGATTTCATGAAAGAAAATTTATCTTCTTATTCCATGAACAAACGTCTATATTATTATGATTATGGAAAATATAAACACACACCAAATATCAAAGAAGTTCATAAACTCTCAATAAACGAATTTAATTGTTAGGACATAATGTAAAAAATACAAAATTTATCTAAGTTTTGATGAAATAAAGTAAGAAGCCTGAACTAAAACGTACTGTAAACAAGTACTAAGCATACTATATAGCAAGTTATTAGTAAGATAATCTAATTAATATATGAACATTAAGAACAAAATAAACGCGTGCCTTCAACAAACATAACAGATATCATGATACGTACTTATAATACAAAAAAAATAATTTTTTCGGTACAATGTAATCCCCGATTTATCTAGTTTGCTTTGATTCCATATAAAGTAGATAAATCGAGGATTAAGAGGATAAATCGAGGATTAAGAGGATAAATCGAGAGCCTTAAAATATTTTAGATTTCTTCCTCATATCGATTTTAATACTAAATTATACTTATAATACTGATGATAGCGAACATATGTTATAATCAGTGTCTTCCTCTACAATGACAGAAATTCCATTAATGTAAACATGATGAAATGAGATCAAATAAAATCTGCAGCTGCTTGTAAAATATCTCATAAACGAGCGTTTCCTTAATATAATTTCATATGAGATTTCTTAACGCATCAAAGGAAAAATTTGCGCCAAGGCTGTATTATATATACGATGTAAACCTCGAAGTTTTTATTTCAGATTGATGCCTTACATGAATGTGAAGATCTCGTAACAATGAATATGACTATATCTGTTATTGACTTTAAGCAATTATTCAGTCGCAAAGATAACGAATGACGGGCTAATTTTTAAATTACTTTCATAAAGTTTGCGGTATTTTATGGCTTTATATATAATGAGAATTATATTATTCACCAATGGCTGGATTTAGTAAACGTATATTATGCCATTTACATATATCTACATCATTCAGTCATACATGCCAATCAGAAGAATTTAATTCATATGTAACAGCCGATCTGCTTTAATTTACATTGATAACACGTGTTTATTAATATCTGTTCATCTGACTGGAAAAACATGTCCACACTTTTTCTGATCTTTTCATTATCACCCTGCAACGCAAATGCATGTCTTATAATCAACTTGTAAATCCTTGCTGTTTGACATCACAAAAAAAAAAGTTAAAAAAAAATACTAACCTATATGCTCTTCGATAAATTTTGTGCGTAACTTCCGACTCAGAGGAATCCAGGGTGGTTCTTCACTTGGCTTTTCCAATACAGATGCCTCAATTACCACTTTCTTTTCTTCACGGAATTGTTGTGGTTGGAATGTTTGTGTTGGCTTTGGAGGACTGTTCACTTGTTCTATTCCATTCGTAGAAGGACTATGTTTTGGTGTCGCTCCATTCGATTCCTCGTAGTTATAGGAATCGACAGAATGATTTTCTGTAAAAGAACGCTACGTTTATAATCGTTTATTAAAAAGCTTTATGTAAAACTTGAGTACTATAAAAACACTGCTTACTGAAAGCATGTTAAAATTATTCGAAATAGTTTTTGTTACAGAAAACGCACTTGAAAAAATTAATACAAGTATCTAGGATTAGATTAAAATTAAAATGTCATATAATCTTACAGAGTAAGTAATTTTTATTAATATACTAGCTGAAATGAACGCAGCTCGGGCTTTACTGCATAGTGAAGAGGTTTGATTTAGGACCAAGGCGTTTGGTTACGGAGTACCTTTGCAGAATAATTGTAGTTACCTCCACATCATCGTTAATGAAAATTGAAATAATTGAGAGAGAAACATTCTCTAAAGGTGAAAGGAAGAGCTGTTAAGCTGAAGTCAAAAAGTCGCTAAGGAGTCTTGATTTAGGAGGATGGAGGTGCTTTTTTTTTCTAAATATTCACAAAAGCTCATAGATTTCACATTTAAATTCTACTGTTAAATTCACCTAATAATTTATAAATTACGAAACATTAGAAATACGTTATTAATATTCTCATGCAGTTTTATTACTTTAGAATTCTAATCTAAAAACAACACGAAAAATTCATTAAACTAGCAATATTTTTAATCTGTAATTTATGCGGATAAGGCTATTTGTCAGTATGACAGTTTACCAGTGTTTTCTAGAACAAGAATTCTGTAAGATCTCATGATTAACACCTCTTGTTTGAAAAAAAGCATATTCGTCAACACTTTTTGTAAGAATATGCATAGAAATGCTTGTTACTTAATCTGTTAAAATAAGACATGTCTTTTTAAACGGATATTGTATTTTAATTAAGTTTAAATGCAAACACTTCGTTTTTCACTTTTTGTAACTCTCCTGAATATGATGTCCAATTTTAAAACTAAATATCTCGTAAGCTTTCGTACATCATTTTTTATTGCGTGCTTTATAATGAGAATAATTTTTTTAAGTATGTATATAAGGTACGGGAAAGAATATAAAAAATTAGATTTCGTAATTTTTGCAAAATTAATTATTTTAAATTTTAAAATATCAGTGCATCAGTATATGTGTCATTTAAAACATTTTTGCAATTTGAAAAAGTGTCTACAATCAATGGTTTTGAAAATAAAGGCCGGATAAGGAATTTAGTAGGTATGTTTTATATATATGAACGGTGGGAGCTGAACGCCTGTGTGTTGAAAGGGCGCGTGCTTGAATTAAACTCCAGTTAGTTAAAGGGCTCAATATGTGAGTCTCAGTGCGCTAAGAGGAAATTTTAGAGTGTATATTTTCAGGAGAGCAACATCTGTTTTTTTGACCTTAGCTATGCATAATGAGTGATGCACTGCTATGATCGCAAGTCTCTCAAGGCAAATACTGTTAGTCGTTCAAAATATCGAATTAAGCGACTTGGGAAATTTAATTGTAGAACTGTTGGTTGCTAGCTCGGTTTTTAAGTCATCAGAACACAGCACAGAATGTTTCTTCTTCTGTAAATGCATTCTAAAATGCTGATCGCTTTGATTCTATGTCTATCATCTTGCGTTATTTAGCCAATTAAGAAAGGACTTCCGAGATTTATTTCAAATTTTTAATTATTCTCCAGATGGACAATACTTGTTTGTAACTGAAGTAAGATATTAGTAAGTTTGCTTGCCTACAATAGTCAATAAAATTAAACTTGGCTAAGATAACAAGCATTGCATATTCCATGTACAAACATTGATTTTGCACGCGCAGTAAGGTCTCAACTTACGAACCATTTAACATGCAAAATTTTCGAGATACGAACTTCTACTTTTTGTAGTATAAAGTGTAATTTAATTATTATGTCTGATGTGGGAATAATGATTTGCAATTTTCAATTAATATGTCAAACGATAAACTTTATAGAGCTATTTTTAGTTTTTTATTTTACTAAGTGTATTTCTTCTTTTTTTCCTCCTAATTAAATAGCTACAGTTCAAAAATTTAATTTGAATTTTTGTTAATAAAATCGTATTTCTAATTCTTAGCTCTTACAAGAAGTTTTTTTCTATGTTAAAACTATTAAATTAACGCTAAGGAAAATATTTCTATTCTAACACTTAATCCAGCCAAGAAAAACTATAGCCCGACTGTGTCCAAAGAACTGCATTCATAGAACTTGAAAGCGAGACTACTACAGATACTATTGTTCCTTGGGAATGACCATGTATTTAAAAGATGATAAAGAGGTTATAGAGAAAGAGGGATATAATGTTGAGCTGCAAATCAGTAGCTACAAGAGTTAAGAAAGGAACAGGAAAGAGAAAAGAATGAAGAAGAAAACCAAATGTCATCAAAGAATGAAGACGATAACAGTTGATAGTTGACGGGAAATTATCATTCTGCAGGAGGTTAGGTGGTACTGCCTCGCGTTCCCGTATATCTAGCACTAGGAGATACATCAAATAACGTTGGAATATATTGTTGCCGGTGTAGCTCAGGATTTCATTTATGATCTATATGATTTGCATAATTATTACATAATTTCAGATATTCAAATTTACAGCGAAACTTACAAAGTACACATTACAAATATGCTTTACAGTCGCAACACTTTACAAACTTTACTGAATTTTACAAATATTACAGGAAATTCAATACAGGTGTTGTACATAATGTTCAATTTCTAGGAAAAAACTGAATAGTAGTAAACTGATTACAGATGTAGTACAGAAGATTAAACTTCTAGAAACACACTAAAGAAGATAACAACAAAAAGGAAGAATTTAAAACAAGTGACGTGAAGAAAATCTTATAACGCTGGAGCAAATTAGAAAAACTGTTTATCTTGTAGCATTCAGACCAAGCCGTTGTTTATAAACGCCACCAATATCTTCAGCGGCAGTTCCAATAAGTAGCATTTTCTCCCTCATTTCCACATGCCTTTATCATATCATATTGTTGTAACTGGAAGCATATACGACGAGCATTCGGGAGGTCCATTGTTCGAATCCCGGCAAGAGCAATGCCAAATTCTTCAGTTTTTTGTCATTTAAAAATCTATAGTGGCACCTGAACTGAAAAAAAGGTGGTGGACGATAATTCGTCACAACCAAAATTTGCGAATAAGTCCCCTAATCCCCAGTCGCCCTTTGAAAGGGGTAGCATATAAGGTATTTTTTTCCTCCTTTCTTCCTGGTTTAATTGGAAGCATTCTCGACGCGTATTTTAGAGGTCCAGGTTTCGAGTTTCTGCGAGGGAACTGGACATTTTTCACGTCTCCTGCTTCAACAAAACCTAATGACTCTACAAAGGTATTAAGTGAATGAAAAACTGTCATCACCGAATAGTTTTATAAGGGACTAATAGAAGCATTTGATGAAAGCAAAACCAGTCACAAGATAACTAACTCTTTCTCAATTTTAATGACTTTTATACAAAGCGTGTAAAATCAAAGATTTTATAAATAAAACTAGTAATTTCTACATATTTGTATGCTTTTTTTTTTTTTACTTTCTTCCAAAATTTCTAAATCTGAGATAAGATTTTCAAAAATAAAATTAGAGACTGGCTTTCGAGATATGAATCGCGGAAGGGATTAAATTAGTGCCTTTGTATTTTTACCAAACTCTAAAGCGCATTTCTATTACATTAAAGTCTTTATTCCAAGTTAGCTTCAAACAGGTCTTTAATTTCAATTTTGACGAGCTCTTCCGTGCACTAGTTATAAATATATGGTATGTAGTGCATACAGCCCGTAAGTTGGAAGAAACAGAAGCGAAATTGTACATTTAAATCAGATTAAACACATATTTTAGGAACTGATTGTTTAGAAATAAAACAAACTGCAGAACTTTATATCTCCTATGCTTTGTTATTTTCCTCACGAATTTTCCAAAAGAGATCACTATTTTCATGAAAATCCGTCCTAACTGTATTATTATACTATGAATTCCCACTTGAGAGAATTCAGAGATACGCTTCTGAGTTTTAGGGAAGGGGGAGGGTGGCAAGGTAAGCAAAAGAAAAGCTTGATGAGCCATTCATTTTATATTCTCAAAATTCGCTGAATTTATAAGAAATTATTAAACAGTGTTTTCAGACATAACAATGGTTACTGCCCCCCCCAAAAAAAAAGAGGGAGGGAAAAAAGAAATAGATATCGTCCAAAAACTTAATAAAACGTACCTATATGACCTTCTACAAACTTGGCACAGAGTTTTCTGCTAAGACTTATCCATTCGGGTTCTGGTTCAAGAATTTTTCTCTCACAGCCAAATTTTCCATGTTCTCTGACGTATTTTGGGCTGTTTTCCGCTTTCCGATGATACAACATTGTTTCATCCAAGTTAGCATCTGAAACAAAGAGACAATTAATCATAAGATTTGTTTAAGTAATCAGAGAGATTCTCCATTTACGACACGAACAGCATTATGGATGCAATCGCAAGTGTTACTTAACCCAGTGTTAAGAAATACTTGCGGCTGCAAACATCTGCGTGTTCAAGATTAGGATAAACGATGCTTTTGCAACAATGAAAACTCAAGCGTTTTTTTTAATAGATACTTTATAAATTATATATTACTTCCATAGAATTATAAGGCATTTTCCCTCCTTCAAGCATACCTTCATGGTATAACTATAGTTGCTCATTTTGACAATAATAATGTAAGAAATGGCAACTAATGATTGTATGAATTTGCATATAAGTGAATCTTTTATTAAAATATTTTTGTAATAACAAAAGATATTCTTAATATAACAAGCATATTCTTAATACTACAAATATTCTGATTCTTTAGATCATTCCGATTTAATGCTTCAGAGAAATCGTAAACTAACGTGCTTGCTATTTCAAATATGCAGAGTCATTAAAAAATTTAAGAAGGAATTTCTTTATGATGCTAAAATGTTATCCATATATGTGCATCATATGAAATATTCTGAATTCTGACTCCAACTTTTCTGAAATATAAAGAAACGTGAACTCTTACACAGTGGACAGAGAGATTTTAGATCTTTCTCCTATACGTCAGAGATTGAAAAAAGAAGTTTTTTTCCTTTTTCTCAATTCTGTTTGATATAAAAATTTGAAGTGCATTGTCTCAGCAAATTCAGTGAGAAAAAACGCGGTTTTTTTTGTCGTATCGGTGAAGAAATCTAATGCTTCACAAAATCGCTGCATTTCATTGCAAATTAATATGCTGATTTCAGTAACATTGTAAGTTATTACTTACAATGTTACTGAAATCAGCATATTTTACTTTGTCTACTAAATTGTAGATAAGTGAAGATTCATGTGAAACGAAATTAATGTTTATATTTTCGTGTAGTTTTATAAATTATTTTTATATTATCTCAAAGCATAGTGCTCCGTCCAAAGTAAATGCTATCATATTTTCTTCTCAGTTTGCTAATTAAATATATTTCATCAATCTGCTACTCACTCCGCTAACCAGACAAAAATGCTGTTGCAGACCGTAGGAGGTACAGTAGAAATCAATTAGATTTATTAATTTTAGGAAAAGTATTTATTTCGAAAATTACGAAAATAAGACACGAGTGAAAGAGTGAACCATGTCTCGCTCAGAGAATGTTGACCACTGACCGTGGCTTTGAAACAGGCACACAACCAGTTAGTTTTTACCTTAATATGGGAGAGCTCCAGACCGTTGGCTTTGTAAGCGCAAAGCGAAACCGTAATTGGCGAGAACAACGGCGTGTTAAACATCATATGAAATGACAGTTACTCAAAACTCATTGCATTGAATTCGACACAGCTTAGCACTCTGAATATACATTTTTCATTCGATTTACGAGCGCAAATTAATGTTTTCAGCAGAATAAAGTGTAAAAACATTTTTACTTTACAAGGTTTATTTTAGTTAAGAGGTTTTGTTTATGTTCAGATCTGTCACATACTCACTCCTGTTCTTTCGTCTGCTTCTGAATGCGTAAATAAGAGGAATTTTAAACAAGAGAAACAATCTACGTTATAGAGTGTAAAGTTTGGCATCGCCAACGACCTTAAAGAAACTACTCTAGTAGTACTCGACGCGCGTTAATAGTTCTCTAAGCTAGTGAGTTTTGCTGTTGCATACTAAGCATAGTTCTGAAAATCTACTGAGCCAAATGTAAGTAATTATCTGACAATTATAAATAACTAGCATTCAGTGTTATCTGTTATTTTCGGGAAAAGTAAATCTCTGTCCTGAAATGTTTCGCTTTTCTTATTATTCGGAAGTAAATATATATTTTTAAATGTAACAAACCATCAGAGTATATTTGTATGCAAATACAAAATCTATCTTGGCAGTTTCTGTCTTGGAGATATACTTTATATATCTATATACATTGAAAGATAATACTAATTCAATTTTGCAATGCACTAAGTGAATTAATCATAAAAATGGTAGTAGGTTATAAAAATATTACACTTTATGCTAAGTGAATTTTTGTAATAATAATAGGAATGTCCTTATTGCTAACTAAGATGCAGAAAAGGAACGTTGCCTTTTGGTTAGCAATATAGCTCCAATTTTATGGTATGAACTCGGAAAAATGGCGATTATCTGAGCTTATAGCAAAACAATTTTACATTGTTTTTGTAAAACTAGACGCATATTATTTCCTTTAAGTGATTTAAATAAAAATATTTCCTAAATAAAAATTTGGAAGCTTACTTTACGCCAAATGTATCTCAAACTGCATATTTTTCCTCCAAAAATTATGTGCGCAAAAAATGAAACATCTGTCTTTTTGATGGAGCATGTCCATAGGTTATCTGAAAAGTCTTTTATTCGAAACTGCTTACTCCAGTTAGCTCAGATAAGTGGGTTTCTGCAGCATATAACAATTTAAAGTGCTAAATGGCTTCGATTACAAAATTTGAAAGAAAATAAATTAATACGAAAATTAAAGAACTACAGTGTTTTCTGGTGTACAAGGCAAGACGGCATATAAATTGACCCCGAGATATCTAAATTATCATCAGATTTAAATTCGTCGTTATGTGTCGACCCTCAGTATGGAGCTTCTAGAAATTTGATATATACGAGAAACTTACCCAAGTACAGAAATAAAGATTGCATTAATATTTTTTGTTCCCGAAGAAGAGAGACCTATATCTGCATCTCTGAAAATCGATATTCAAAATCTACTCCAAATTAAACTTGCTTTTTCACCTAATTAGAAATAAGAATGCTAAGCTTCACACAACAAGCTGGATATATGAGCAATATTATTATTAGACAATATTTAACCTAATGAAAAGTTTAGTATAAACATGAACATCACTATAATAGCAAAATACTCAGAATGATACTCTGCTTCTAATTTATGTCAAGTTCTTTGCTGGATCAGAGATTTTTGACATAAAATTCAGCTGTTCTGTTGTATTTCAGAAAATCTCATTTATTAGATTTCTGATACTATCATTTGCATTGTTAATTTTATGAAATAATATTTATATTATCTAGTATTCAACTAAATTCTTCTCAATCTTAACTTATAAATCATGTTTATTAAAAAACATCTATCTGCATCATTGAAATGCTTTTTATTTTTGTAGATTAAAAATGTTTTTTGTTTTGAGTATCTAGAACATCTGAAATCTTATCGCCCTGAACAATAATTTGCCCTTCTGTTAGGTGGCTTGCGTTACAAAAGATGTTTGCTCCGAGACAAATATTTGAAAAAAAAAAAAAGCATAAAAGCATTCATTTAAGCACCTGAAAGAGTACATTTCGTTAAAACAGTGAAGATGACTTTATTAACGTAATGAAAAACCATTCTGTTGTCCCTTCAGATATACTAAATGTCTTAAGCTCTGCCCAAACAGAACATAAAAACAAAGCGATAGCTATCTCTTTCTGAGGCGAAGGTCAGGACTGGTGCACGCAATATGTCAGGTGGCTCAACTACTATTGAATCAGGTGCGCTATAAGGAGTAATGTCACGATTTGCGTCGAAATACTGTCATTTCAGATTCTTTTCAAGGACAAAAGACTGCGATGGAATATGAAATTCATAACACCTGTATTGCCATCTCCAAATTTGTAGACTTCTGGCTCCGTTTCCATCCCAACTTTTGAAGTGAATCTGAAAATCTAAGAAACGCAGACAAGCCTTAGCAACCTTTTAGATTTACTTCCTAGTCGTTCTTTTCTACCATAAAAAGAAACACTTAATCTTGGAATTTTCTTTTGCGTTGTCCGATATCGTCCAAAATACGCCTTGAAAGCCTGAAATAATTTATTTCCTATTAACCCTTTTCAGCTGTTATTGTCCTTTCATTCGGTTGATATCAGAGCGCGAAATCTTGATTCCGAGCCCAAAAATATAGTTACATGGCATTAAACAATTTCTCTTTTACTTATCATATTATAAAAACGACAAGAGTAATAAAATTAAAAAATAATTTTTAAATCCTAATAACATTTTGCATCACGTTTTATTAACTTTAAGTTAGTGTAATGAATGGCATTATTAAAGTTATGTAGTATTGCTGCCTGCAGTATAGAACTTCTAAAAATCTCATATATATATCCGGAAGTTTGCATCAAAAATAAAATCTGATGATGAATATGAAAGTCAATAACAGCAAACGCACTGCAATTACATGCCGTATTTACACGAAAATAATAAAAGACGCTTCTTATATTATATGATAAATTTTAAAAAATAAAAATATGGGTAAATATTTATTTTGAAAGTAACTCTGAAAAAGAAAATCTCGTTTCTTGTCATTTTCTTATAAAAATACTGCCTTCTTGAAATAGTAGCACCGTTAGTTGTGGATGAAAGGCAGTATTTAGCGGCCCATTATTATAGCCACTTCCAAGTGATTAAACAATATTTCCAAGCCAGGCATATGTCAGTTACGAATAGTAGTCAGTATAGATCTGTCAGCTAGACGTAGCTATTATAATTAGCAGTAGTTAGGAAACATGTGCATATGGTTTAAACCGCGTCTAAAAAAGTTCTCACCGGCCTTCATTCTCGCAATCGTTGATTGTAGAGATATATTTTAAGGTTAAAAACAAAATTTTAAATGATGCAAATATTCATATTTTGGCATTTTTATATTAAAAAAATTAGTTTTATAAAAATTACTAAACCCAACTTTTTATACGTTCCCCCGATCCCTGTACTTGTATATAGGAAAATGTTATGCTTATTATAAAAAGTGCAACAAAACATTTGTGGTCCCATGCGACAAAAACTGACTGAGGTTTTTAATTTTGAAGTTAAATATCATAGTGAGGGGCCGTAAACAAACTGAAGAGCGAAGAGTTTGCATTTGTATACTTAATTAAAAGCAAAATAATTTAGAGAACAAAATTTATAAATTTTT